CTAAAGGACTTCTTCCGAGCAAATGACTCAATTAAACGGACCACAATTCAAAGCATGAACAAAATAGCAAAAAAATAACTAAAACTAAAGCAAGTATGGAATAAAAAGCTGGAAAATCAAACCCAAGAGTCGACTCGGAAAATGCTCGAAGAACATCAAGAACAAACCCAAAAAAAACCGTAACCGACAAAACCCCGCAGATGATTTCTTATGATTTTTTGACTTTTGACCTTTGATTTCTCTTTTAACAACCCGAATAATGATAATCTCCCTTAAAACAACCTTAAAAACTTTTCAATTGAACCGAGAAAATGACAAACACCAACCCGAAAAATAAGAACAAATTCAAAGGTGCCCGTAAATCCAAAGAAGGAAACCCGTAAATGGAACCCAAAATTTCAAGAATTGGGGTTGAGTAACCCATAAAGATAGAAGATTAGACCAGAAAAATCCAAAACAAATAACTAAAAGGCTAACAATTTGAAGAACCAAAACCTAGAAACATAAGAACACTAACCCGAAATCCAGAAATACCCGAAACTGCAGAGCCTAATTAACCCCAAATATTTCGAATTTTAGCTCTTTTTTGGTTTGCTTTTCACTCTATATTAACCTGCATTTTTCTCCCCTTTTTCCCCCTTGAAATCGATTTCTTCCCTCTATTTACAAGCTAAATTCCGCATTGATCATTGGGAGTGCTGCTACCAAAATGGCAAGCATGGCTCACTCGCTAATTGCAGCATGGGTTCCTACAATTAAATCATGGATTCACCACTTCAATCAGCACAAAAATGAAGATTATATTGATGGAGTGTATAGGAACGCCGCATTAATTGTTGATTGTTTGTCGAAGATATGCTCGAATCAATTCGAATTGTGTTGGTCTTGCCATTCGCTTTCAATTTTGCTTTTGGTCCCTTCTAGCTCCAATTGTCCGAAATCATCTCCTTTCATGTGCAATTTCGATCCTTGTGAATTGAATTTTATCAATTAGATTCTTTTGTTAAGCAATTTTAGTCTTCGTAAATCCAATTGTATCAATTGGGTCTCCAATTACTTCAATTGCACTCATGGATGTAAAATTCTATATTTTTGTATTTTCATTCTTTTTCTATTTTCTTCTAATAAATTCTAAAATGAAGTAAAATGAAATAAAATAAGTAAGGAATAAGTAAAATAAAAATGAATTTTTGGGTTATGACAATAAGAGCCTAAAAAAAAAAAAGAAACGAATAACAAATAGACAGTTGACTATCCAAAAAAGTAAAGAGATTTGAAAAAAAAAGCTACAAATAGCTTTCATCAATCCTATTTTTTTCCTCTGTAACTACCAAACATATGAAAAAAAAAGGCTAATGAGAAGTTATAATATGCTGGCAATATTAAGAGTTTTGAAAGAGAAACCTCAAACAACAAAAGACAAGGCAAAACAAAATCCCTTTAGAAAAGAAAAATAGCAAAAGAAAATAAAATGAAAAGGGAACAAATGCTTAGAAGTTCTTATACACAACTTTTTTAATCTCAGTCAACCTGGAAAAATAACGAGGCAGTCAAAGTCATGAACCAACAAAACAAACAACAAACCTAATATCCTAGGCAATATAATAGAAAAAATGCTTTGTTCTTAGGCAAGAAAAATAGAAAAAAGAAAATGAGAGGAGGATGAGAGAGAGAAATCGTACATGAGAAAATAAAATGTGAGTTTTTTTAAAATGAAAAAGATAAGGTGGGACATATAGCGGGCAATAATTGGTTGTGAAGGTTACATCTCTATCAATATGGATTGCATTTTTTGATGACTGAAAGGTTGAGATGAGGGGCAAAGAGAAGACAATTAATAGAAAGGCACAAAAAAAAAAGAGCATTATTGATTGAGCCACAGTCAATCCATAGTAAGTTATTTCAATGTGAATACAAACTAACCAGATCTTTCCATAAAGCAAGACAATATCAAAGCAAGAGTCACAATTGAATTAAGGCGAATCTACTATATATATATATATAATCAAATAAGAGGCGAAGAGGCAAGGCAAATAGACCAAAACCAATCAAGAAATGTGATAAAGAAGAGAAAACTCCAATAAAGTGTATGATCCAAATTTTTAAAAGATAGCAGCCAACAATAAACACATAAATAACGATAAAGAATCTTAAAAGTCCTAATTGAACGATAACTATATAAAAAAAGATCTTTGGTGAAGAGAGAGCTACCCGACCTAAAAAATAAAGGATAATAGGAGCCTAAAAATAAAAAATAAATAACAAATAGACAATTGACTATCCAAAAAAGTAAAGAGATTTGAAAACAAAAAGCTACAAATAGCCTCCATTAGTCCTATTTTTTTCTTTATAACTACCAAGCATGTGAAAAAAAGAAGCTGATGATACGTTATAATACGTTGACAGTATTAAGAGTTTTGAAAGAGAAACCTCAAACAACAAAGGACGAAGCAAAACAAGATCCCTACATAAAAAAATAGCAAAAGAAAATAAAATGAAAAAGTAACAAATGCATAAAAGTTCTTACAAACAACTTTTTTCAATCTCAATCAACCAGGAAAAAAAACATGAGGCAATCAAAGTCATAAAACAACAAAACAAATGACAAACCTAATATCCTAGACAATGTAATAGAAAAAGTGCTTTGTTTTTGGCCAAGAAAAACAACAAAAAGAAGATGAGAGGAGGAGGAGAGAGAGAAATCGTACATGAGAGAATAAAATGAGAGTTTGTTTTTTTAAATGAAAGAGATAAGACGAGACATGTGGTGGGCAATAATTGGTTGTGAAGATTGCATCTCTATCAATATAGATTGCATCTTTTGATAAATAAAAGGTTGAGATGAGAGGCAAAGAGAAGGAAATTAATAGAAAGACAAGAAAAAAAAAAAAAAGAGCAGGAGCACTATGGATTGAGCCACAATCAATCCACAGTAATTTGTTTCTATGTCAATAGTAATCTAAATAGTATTTTTAGGTTTTGTTTTAGTTTTTGTTTGTTTGTTTGTCTTCATCTTCATCTTCTTCTTCTTCTTCTTGTTTTTTTTTTTTTGGAAATCAAACCTTTGATTTCAGTTTAGGAAACTCTTTTTTTACCAATTGAGCTATCCATATGGAGCATGAGGCGTAGAATTTTGCAAAAGTGAGGACAACAGAATATTATTAAGTTCTATTACCAAGCTTATTGGGAAAAATGTTCTTAAACAACAATACTGATACATATTTTTGTACGAAGAACATGAAATCTAAAACCACAGGCTATTTATAGAGTAAATTGTTATTTAATCTTTAAGTGAAATAATTGATTAACATCTTTTTTCTAAAAGCCTTAATGTTAAATTTCTATATTTTTATATTTTTTCGTAATTTAGTTAAATTTCATTAACTATTCATTACAATTTAATTATTTTCATTCCTAACATATCGTTCCTTTATTTATTTTTTTTTGGGGTCAAACTTTATAATTCCATCCACTGTGTACAAAATAAAAAATACATTTAAAAAGAATAATCTAGATATTTTAAAAAATTTAACTTCAAACTCCGGTTAAAGAATTAACATTTGATTTTCAAAACTAGAAAAATTAACTTACAAAATCATTAAAACAACCTGTGCCATATTATATTCTGCTCGGCTCTTATAACGTTGGATGCTTGCACCGACGTCATATGCATCAGACTCATTACTTATTTATTATCACTGTCGCCAACTCAAAATCAGTTATTTATAATACTTTAATTTTACGACTAAGGCGGTGTTTTATACTGTTGGTAGTCCAAAGTATCAGTGTTAATTCTTGAATTCCATTATAAGTAGATTTTTGCATGATTATGAACGGTCCTGGAGCTGCCATGGTACTGATCGTTGGGCATAAGTAAGTCCAAGGGAAGGAGAAGGGCAGATAGGAAGAAGGACCGATGAGTTACGTGCACACTAATGCACGAAATTTAACTGGCCAATAGAACCCCATCATACCATTATAAATAACTAGTATTATCTATCAGACGGTACCAAAGTCCACTTGCTTTCGCTGTTCTAGAAATTGCTTAGTTTTGGAAGTAAAGGAGAATGATGGTTCTAGGTGTTCATAAATTACTTTGCTAATGGTTTAAAAGAGGCAACAAATCTGTGGATTCTTAAGTCTTTAGTACTATTCCCTTCTCAGCTGTGTCCTAGCTCGCTGGCTAGTTTTCTCTCACTTTTTCTTTTCTTTTCTTTTTCGCATTTGATATTTGAGAGAGGAGAAAGAATATAAGGAGGGAAATGGGAAGGGCTCCTTGTTGTTCCAAGGTGGGCTTGCATAGAGGACCATGGACTCCAAGAGAAGACACATTGCTTACCAAGTACATTCAAGCTCACGGTGAAGGCCATTGGAGGTCTTTGCCTAAAAAAGCTGGTAATTATATATGTAATCTGTGGAAAGCGTTTATCTCGCTCTTCTTCAATCATTGTCCTTTCCTTTTGATTTTATTCGTTGACTTTTTTTTGTGTGTGTACGTGTTTGTATTCTCATTTCTCTACAAATTAATTAAGAAGCGTTCATGATCAAAATAAACGCCCCCTATATTTGTTCATGCACTTGAAAACTGTGATGTTAAAGAAGAAAACCATAAAAATTGTGGCTTCGATTGATCAGTTTTTTTTCTAAGTAGAGTTTTCTTGATGACTTTCGTTTTTTATGATAAAATTTCCCTTTCCTTCAACGTTCAAATGTAGTCAAACAAAAGCATTCGATCGTTCAAATGTATTTGTGTTCATGATGTCTCGTCATGTATCACATTTTGCTTTCTTAATTTCTTGGTGCATTATGTGCCATACATACATAATTGGAAGAAACCTAACTTCAGTTATCTGACCCATGTTTCATCCTTTGTATTTCCATAATTAAATGAAGGTCTCCTCAGGTGTGGAAAAAGTTGTAGATTAAGATGGATGAATTATTTAAGACCAGACATCAAGAGAGGAAACATCAGTCCTGATGAAGACGATCTCATTATTAGAATGCATTCCCTACTCGGTAACCGGTGGTCTCTCATTGCTGGAAGACTTCCAGGTCGAACCGATAACGAGATCAAGAATTATTGGAACACCCATCTCAGCAAGAGACTTAGAAGCCAAGGAACTGACCCAAACACCCACAAAAAGTTACAAGAACCAGTAAAACGTGAAGTGAAGAGAAGGAGAAGCAACAAAAACACCAGCAACAAGAAACAAAACAAGAACAGAGCAAAATTTGTGCCAGCTGAAAAGCATAAGGTCCACCTCCCTAAGCCTGTTAAATTTACTTCTTTATCTTTACCGAGAAACGACAGTTTTGAGAGCAATACGATTACTAGTCTGTCTCCAAGCCAAGGAAGGGATCAAGGGTGTTTCGGTGCAGAAGCTTGGTATAATTTCAAGGATGGTGATAATGGGTTTAGCTTTCTTGTTGGAGATGTTGATAACGGTCTTGTTAATGGTCCAGATCTTGAATGCCAGTCTCTTGTGCCCACGACAAACACGTTAGAGGAGCTATATGAGGAGTATCTTCAGCTCCTGAAGGTAGATGATCACCAGGATCAAGTGCAGTTAGACTCCTTTGCTGAGTCATTGTTGGTATGACAATTAAATTCAAGAAAATTTAGTATTTTGTGTGTGAATGAGTTGTAATACATTTTCAAGTTTCGTGGATGATGAGCTCATTTGACTCGTAGTTTTCACGTGCTTACCTTCTGGCCTAGCTGGCCAACCGATCGAGGATGGATTTCGGGGGTCCGATTCTATGTTTGGTTCCTTGTAATTATTAGATCATAAATATGAATGATGTGTGTGATAACGATATGAGAGGCATCTTATTTTATGTGTTGCATATTATGCTACACATAATTGACGACCTTGATACCAACGATAAGCACAATATGTGATGGAGTGCCAAAAGGAATTGAGCTCTCTTTAACTCAACGGTAACATAATCCACATTACATAATTTAGATTTCAACGCTTTAAAATTCATTTTTAAAAATTAGTGAGTGGTTGGAGTTTTTTAAAATTAATAGTTATTTTTCTACAATAAAGAAAATCAAATAATCAATTTTAAATTTCACTATGAACATGCATCATATTACTTCTAGTTAAGAGTAGAGATCGAATCCATAAATAAAAAAGATAAACAAAAAAATATTATTTTGTTAGATGTGGATGCACAAATTAGTATCTTCCTAATAAATAATATTTCATTCGACAAAATTATCGAAATTGAATCGAAACAATCACAACAATTTACAATATTTAAAATATAAATTCCTTAGAGAATTATTTTGAAATACCATTACATAGATATGCCAAGTACATATGAACAAGTTTCAAGAAATGTGGAGGGTAAATGTCTAAAAAGATAGGAGACAATTTTGAATTACTAAAATTGCTCCTACCAAGGGCGGAATTAAAAATTTAAGATCGGATAAGAAGAATTCGAAAATACTTGATCATTTTTTGGGGGCAAAACATATAAAATTAATGGGTATAGTTAAAAGCTTTCAAGATTTTAGAACTCAAATATAAAGTGTTTCAACATTTTGCGGTGCCATTTTGTCGCTACGTTTGCTTCTTCAGTTATCTTTTACCCGCAAGTCATTCAATAATTACTGCAGTCGTTGGAGTAATGAGTATCCATGCTAATTATTAATTATGCTTGCAGCTCGTTTCTGACTCTACTAATTTCTAATTATGGACCTAAGGACTTTGTCACATCTTCTCAATTTTCGTTTGTAATATTCGTCCATTTACTTGATTTTTTGCCCATGTCATCAATGAAAACCTGAGCTGACAATAAAAATGAGCACAAAGCAATGAAACAGGAGCTGAACACACAAAGCTTCGAGAAACATGCTCTTATTTCTATCCCAACTGCATCTGTCCCAATGTTTTTTAGTATATTGGTTTTAATAAAATTATTGTACGGACATTGACTGGTATCGTCCTATTCACGTGCAGGGCTTGCCTCTTCATAGACCAAGACAATTGGTTCATTTTGAAACTCGGCCGGACTGTATTGGCAGGCAATCAAAGTTGCATTAAATATATGCTTATGGGTAATAAAGTACAAGTTCTTAACCTTTTTTCTCTTTCTAATCTAAGCCTTTAATCTTTTCTTATCAACAATTAATTTCTTTCGTTTCGTTGGATAATTTCAATGGATATAAAAAAATATGTAAAGATATTAAAATAAAAACATATATTCTGAAAACTTTAAATACATAACACTTATTGTTATTTTATAGTTCTACGAGTTTTTCACGTACATCTAACGTTTAATGTAATATGAGATTGATTAATAAAACGTAAAAAACTTAATCACAAATCAAAAAAGATTGAGGATCCAAATAAATAAAACATAGAAATTTTTTTCAAATTTACGATACTTTATAACCAAATAGCATTGAATATATAAAAATGTTTCTCAAAATGTTTTTTTTTTGTCCATCTCAAAATATTAAATATCATAAGAGTAAAAAAAAATATGAGAACTAAATATATATTACTATAAGTGTTGGACATCTATGCAATAAATGAAGTATTTTGACAATTTGTTGATTAAAATAATGAAAATAGCTTCAATATTATGCAAGACATATATCGATTATAGATACGCTAATTTAGTTTTTAAAAAATATTAATATTTCAATTAATTTTGGATTAATCTATCTTGCCCGTTACATAAAGGGGAGATTTACCTGTTTTCTAAATTTTATCTAAAACCACAGATTTATTTTAATAAAAACTCATATCTTTGTTTTTATTCCAATCAACCCCAACATCTTTCACTTTTGTTCCAATTTTCTCCTCTGTCCATTTCTGTCAATGTGTAAATTTCAACTTATCCCTAAAGTTTATAACTCACTATCATTCAAAAAGTTAAAAAAAAAATTGAAATTAATAAAAATAAGAATATAAAATTAGTAGAAAATATATTTTTTATTAAAACAAATACGGTAAATTTGATCATGTAGTTTGAGCTCACACTACAAGATGTTTAAAGTATTTTATCCAAACAAATAGGATAAAATTTGAAAGAGTTAATTTTTTTAATATATCCTTAAATCCTTCCAAGTTTAATTTTTACTTGGCAACATCATATTTTTCTCTCTCAATACTATAGTTATTCAAATTAATTAGCTTTCTCTTTTTGATATTTTTTTCATACAAACCTTCACTATTCTGATCCCTCTTGCCTATCATGTCTCCATATTTCTTTGATATCGTCATCCAATAAAACATTTGACATGTGTAAATAATCACGCTATAGGTGATGTTAAAATTACTCTATACTCAAGCTATTATTCCATTAACATGGGATTTTTAATTTTTTTCTTTAGAATTCTTGTTCGAGAATATTTTAACAGAAAATTGAATAAAAAATATATAAATTTGACATACTAGTGAGAAAATGTCTCAGAGGCAGCGATATTGGTTGTTGGCATTTTTATTAAAAAAATATTTTTTATCCTATTTGTTTTTAGTTTAATTTAATTTTTGTATTGTAAAAAGACAGCTAGATAGTTTTGATTGAATTTGTTTTTTATCATATTTTTTTATTTAGAAAAGGTCTTTCTTTAATGATTTTTTTTTAATTTCAATTTTTTTATTTTTACATTTTGGGTTATATTGAGATATTCTATAAATTTTGAAGATAAAATTAAAATTTACTCAAAGTGGAACAAAAATGAAAGATATAGGATTTAATTGAAATAACTTAAATATTTTAGGTGAAATTGAGAAAACACATAAAATACAGGGAAGCAAATTAAAATTTACCCTTACATAAATCCCTCGCCTCAACAAATAGAACTAAATTAAAATTTCAAGTTCGAATAATCAAAACCATTTTGACATATCAAAGAGTTAACAGAAAACCATCACTGAAAATCAACTTTAAAAAATTAAATTTTAAATTGAAATGGTTTTTTAACATAAATGTAAAGGATTAACATGTATGTGATATTTTCTGTCTTTCTTTCTTTACTTCTCAATGTGTTTACTCAATGAGAAAAAAGAAAAGAAACGAAACAGACAAATTAGCTTTACGTTTTCCCATTTATATGACCATTGAAGCTCTATAATTGTATGTAATTAACGCTGTTTTCCATTCTTAATTAATTTTCGCACCGGTTTTGGTTAAAGGTTAGATGAGCTCGTGATCAACTTCTATTCCCAACTTGGTGGGTGAAACTTCCAAAAATTGACTGTTATCAGCATCAGTAAGGCAGGAAACAGTCGCTGTCGGTGAAGATGATGAAATATGCAACATGGTCCCCTCACTACCTCGTACATATGGGTCTATTATAATTAATTATTAGTCGACCTCAGCTAAAGAATACAGGGCACGAAATAGAGAAAAAGTCGTGCAAGGCATGTTTGCTCAAATGCAAGTATTTTACCGCGATTGGACCTTGAGATATTTTTCAAGTCGCCAACAATTTGCTCTTGGCAAGAACCGTCATGAATTTCAATTTTTGATAATGTCTGATTACTAATAAGACAGAAGGCTCGCCTAACTATAAGCCTCTCAGTATTTAACCCGGGAAGTTGGAGACTAATTTGATCTCTGACGTCTCAATTAAGAAAGTGTCAACAAACAAAATGCGATTTGATCTAATTATGGTATTTATGCTCAAAGTCGCAGACGTAACTGATCAGGGAGGTACTTGCCGACTATGTCATGGGGTCGAATTGGCATGCCCTTTAGTTTGTAGCGAAATATTTACTTACGGCCGGAGATTTTAGGAACTAGCCATGATTCGGTAACTATTTACAAAAATTCGAAGACTAGCTAGCTAGTGTGAATAGAGTATCTTTTGACTAAAAATGCAAAAGCTGAACTTATAGTAATTATATTCCGGACATGGACAAATTAACTAAAGAATATGACTTTAATATGAGATGTGTAAGATGCAAAAAAAAAATTAAATAAAAGGAAGAACAAATCGATTCTCTCTTTTATTTGAATTGAGGTTGAGGAAGGGCGAGACCTTGTCATTTCACATATATGGGCGGGAATGGCAACAAGCATGCAGCATGCGTAGATTACTTTCATGACTTCAAGAATTATGTACATAGATTGAAACGGGCAGGAATTTTCTCCAAATGGGTGATGGGCTTGAAATCAAAACCATAGGATCAATTTTATTGCTAAGAACTAGAAGGACTTATTTGGAGGTTTGATGGTAAAAAGAATAAGACCCAAAACAAACTCTTAATTTGCCACATAAACATCCTAAATTTTCATCGTCAATTTCTTTGCATTAGCACCATCAAAGATTTCCATAGATTTTCTATCACTACAATGAGTAGAAGGAGATGTTTTAAGTGGCAAATTTTGAATTTCCTTCGCATTCAATTTTTATTTTCAAAATTCTAAAATATAGTTTTTGATGTAGATGTGACATTTTTAAAAATAATTTAGTCGTTTGTATGCTATTTCATGCGAACGATTTAAGATCGTATTTCAATTTTATAAATAATTATCTAGATTGTGATTGGATTTTATAAATAATTGGTTAGATTTTTCCCGGGTTTGATCATGGTTTCTAGAATATCTAGGCACTACAAGCAAGAAATGGTGCCTGGTTTTCTTTCTTTCTTTCGCTTTCCATAGACATAATCGAAGGAGCATGTGTGAACTCACTAAGCTTTCCTGTTATATTGGCTATTCAGAGGAGGTCCGTATGACTAAGCTTTCCGTCAGAAGAAAGATAGACATACAGGGTGATTGAGCTTCAGTGTGTTCACATTCGTGTAGCATCAAAAGAAGCAAATTGGAAAATACCCGCAATTCTATTAGGGGAAGAACACCGTCAATTTTATAAGCACAATAGAAATGCAGTGCAAATTATTAGTATCTGACACTTTTTCTTCTTCAGGCAAATGCAATATGGAACATAAATAGCTGATTTCTCTTTCCATCATCCACAGTTTCTTTGTCCAATTTGAAGTGGCATGCAATGCAAGTTAGTTTCAATAAAATAAAATAAAAATCCCTACAGCACCATTGATATATATATTTGATGGAACCGATCAATCTAGCTACATTTCCTTAAATTTGGTAATCTTATTAGAGATCCACTTTGAAAGGAAGTTATTTGCATGCACCATGTTCACATCCATGTGTACGGCTCCTCCCAACTCCAAGGCTATTTTCTTCGATTGCTAACTCACAATCACTGTCATAAAGCTCATGATGTTGATTTTGATGCATTGACACGTGACGTCGTTTAACTGCTTCTGCAATTCTGTACCGTGGTCCCTAGTCATTAAAATTCTAATCTTTTTTTCCCTTCAGGTTTACATAATTGACACAGAATTTCACAAGTGAGCCAGTTGCCAAAATTACATTCCCTTGCAGAGTCCCATATGGATTTCATGGAGCATTTATGCCAATCCCATTGCACAATTAACTGTACATGCCATTTCTCTTGACAGACATTTAGGTGATGGGAGAAAAAAAAACTTCACAGAAAAATGAAGTAACCATTTGGTTTTTGTTTAGAGATAATGTAATAATTGAGAAACATGTCTTAGATCTTGATAAGGGAACTGTTTGTGTGATGGGAAATAAGAGCAATGTCATTCTGTCACTTGTACTGTTCGAGAGTTGTTACAGCTTCAAACGTTCGAGGATTTTCATTTATTCAGTCATTTTTATACCAAGTTATTCTAATCCTATCTAATGGGTTTTATTATTAAGGCATTCTAATCTCCTATGAGGCAAATTTAAAATCGAGTGATAACACTCAATTGTAAAGCTCGTCAATTACGTAGTCCTCAACTATTAATGATCTGTTGCATAGTTCCGCACATTTATATTCAAAAATTATTAAGGAAGCATTATTGCCATACATTTCACGCGAAATTCATTTACGGATAAATTAAGCAGGCATTATTCCGCTCCATTACAAACACATGAAATTCATTTAATTTATGAATCTCGTATTTTTATGATAAGATAGAATACAATATTCGGTATATTAAATAATTTTTCTATTGAGGATATTAAACTTTTTCGAGGGCTACTAAAAACTAATTAAATTATACGATTTTAATTTTACAATACCAAATTGAAATCATATCATGTTCTCTTAGAAAAATAACTATTATATTCCTTAAATAAAAAATTAAATTCAAATTAGACAGACATGATTTAGTACATAGTAAAAAAGTTATATCAAATTAAATTATTATTAATTTTATATTTTTATTATCTAATTCAAATCATTCAATTTGAAAATCAACTGTTAGATTTGAAACATGACCGGTCATGTTCGATAATTGTCTTTTGATATTCATGTAAATTCATTGATAAACTACTACGCTCCCTAATTCTCAATAAGAATAATATTTACAGGCCAAAATGGTAACACAATGACAGATAATAATTAGGACTGTTATTAAAATTTTTATAAAATCTATAAATCTGAAACCATATGCAATTCACTTTTGCTCTTGTAAAAGCAATACGATAAAAAAGAAAAAAGCGAATAGATGCGCAATTGGTAACATTGAAGTCAAATTCGTCGAAGGGAGACTGAATTTTTATTGGCATTAGGCGCCAGTTCCTGCCCAAAATCAAGGCGGTTGAATTTACTAAAATAAAAATCTGCTAAAAATTGTAGCCCAAAACATATCTAATGTTAGTTGGGCTGCTTGGGTGCTGACCTGGTAGAAAAGTTGGCCCATGGAATACAAAAACGAAATACTATACTCAGCAAAGAAAGCCCAAATTGCTCAGAAAGGAAAAAAGCTAAGAAGCCCAAAGACTTTGCTATTTATAAATTTCTCAAAAAAAGACAAGAAAAAAAGGGACAGGACTGGAAAGCAAAACAAGCAAAGAGGAGTGGAAGAGAAAGGGTACATGAAATGGGAACAGTAAAGCCATGGAAGCAGCTTCTTCTAAGCGCATTAGAGTCAAATTCTCACATCAAGCACTCTTCTTTCTTTCAATTTGTATGTATGTCTCTCTCTCTCCACTCATAATTAAGCAATGCAAATTTTTGTGCTGATTAGTTATTAATTCTGTTTGTGTTCTTTCAGGCAACAATTGGATCCAATGGGAGACCTTCCAATCGAACTGTCGTTTTCAGGTCATCTTAGTTTGTCTATGTCTCTTTGATTATAATGTGAAAGTTTGTTTCTACGTATTTTTAAGGTGTGTTTGTTTGTCGCTGGTTTTTTTTTTCTTTACAGAGGATTTGAAGAAAATAGCGATAGAATTCAAATCAACACAGATTGCCGTACACGCAAGGTTTGGTTGCTTCTTCGCTTTATTTATTTTTGAATTTAGACAAGAATAATCCCTTGTTTCATCTTTTTAAAAAACATCAACTCTTGTGCTATTTAATTTTTTTTTTTTTAATTAAAACTTGAATATGCAGATTGAAGAACTCAAGCACTGTCCATTTGCTGAGGTAATAATAAATCTAGGAATCTTTTGTGCTTCAGAGTTTGTCGTTCTTCTTTTTTCAATTAGAGTTCAAGTTGTTACTTGACTTGTTGTAGATATGTTGGTATTTTACTGACTCTTGGGAGCAATTCCGGATCAATGGAAGAGTTGATGTTATAGATGGGTCCAATCCCGATCCAGAAAAGCTTCAGGTTCCACTCCTCTATCCATTTCATTACATCACATTTTATTACTGGATGTCTTACCAAACATATTTTCGTCGATGTTAAGTAAAGAAATCATATAGTAATGTGCTATTCTGGGGTTTGAGAGAAAGACTTTTGATGCTGAATGTTAAGTTGGGGTTTGTGATATATTCCATATAGTTTTATGCTTGCACAGAAATTACAATTTTATGAGCCTTTTAATAGTGAGTGCGTGAGGGAGAATGAGTTAGAAAGTTACAAACAGGGTAAAGAGTAACGAGCAACAACATATATTTAAGAAGAGATGCCAGCATGAGAGTGTATATATTAATTGGCACTGAACTAACAAGAGTTAAACATGAAAACCATTTTTTGGAGTGGTCGGTCCTAATTAGTATGTGAAGATGACATTACCGAAGCAAACGACCTTGTTAAGTTATGACAGTCATGAAAAGATTGCTTTGGGCTTGAACCCCACTGTTTCTTATCTTGTTAATTTTTTATTCCTTTGAATGAAGTCTCTGCATGTTTGAACCTTATATTTGGGACTGAATCCTGCCCATGGGTAAAAAGGGAGGGTTTCCAGCCCTATGTGCCTCGTTGTGTACAAGTTGCAACATCACCCTTCCAACAAAGCAAAAAAGACCATTTGTAAGATTCATGGCATTACTTTACTATTAATCTTTAATGAAAACGCAAGACTATCTTCATTGACATGGTGCTTCAATTTCATCAGAACACGCATACGAATTATATAGAAGAACAGGATCATCTGATTATCTTCACCTTAATATTAATGTCATCACAGAACTAGTTGAAAACCACATGCTGTCTGCAAAACATTTCTTGTTTAAAATGGAAAAACCAATTTTCGTTTGGGAGGGCACTTGTAGTTGTATGCTGAAATTGGGCTTTTTTTATTCAAGATAATGATTTCTAATGTGTTATACATTTGATTTTTCCATCACTTAGCTTTCAATTACCTGGAGCTGCTTAGAGTTTGCTAATTTCTTTAAATTCATGATGCAGCAAAGAGAGAAATCATGGTTTGCTAGTTCATTAAAATCAAGGCTGCAGTACTTGGGACCTAATCCGCGTCTTCCTTTTCTAAGTGAGCAATCTCCCAACGAGTTCTTTCTCGACCCCTCTTCAGGCCCAGTTGCCACATTTTGTCTACTGGTTTTAGATCCAGATCAGGTTCACGTTTCTGCAATCTTGAATTAATTGATGACACTTTTATTTTTTCTTTTAGTCTTCTAAAATCCATCCAATTCACAGGTTGATTACTTGAATTTGAAGAGTAACCAGAGAATATTGTCCACCTTGTCATGGAGTGCCAATGGAGAAATGTGTTGGAATTCAGAGATCATCAATCCGTAAATCTACATACAGAAAGAGTTGTTAATTTGAAACCATTAAGTTTATCTGTAGCAGATAATAAAGAACAAGCTCACTGATGTTTGCTCGAATGAGTTTTATATAATCATTTGTTTTACCTTAAATAAAAGAACCAAGATGTACTAGCTATAAAAATCTTCAATTTCATTTTAATGTGAAACAACCCAGATCAGGCCCTTGGATTCAAAACTGTTATTAGAACATAACCTCCATATCTATATAAGAGTTTTAGTGACCACTTTGATGTGAAATCTCTGATGCAAATGATGTGAATGTTGGCTAGCCTCCCATGTAAAGCATCTTGCCTGAACGTGTATCCCATCCCTTCGGTTGAAAGATACCAGGAGAATGAGGGACAGTCTATCAGAACAATCTTAAAGAGGAAACTTAATTCTTCCTCTACTGAGATTGTGAAATACACATTTGAGCATGAGGCCTTGCAATGGGAGGGAGATATGATAGTGCTTCCCTGCTGTTCAGGACAAAAAGGGACTACACTTTTGTATTCTCAGCATTGCACTTCAACTATAAAGTCCCCGCAGCTGAGTTTCAACTACCTGAAGTTAATCTGGGCATGAGAGGTGGTTGTACCAGCCCCGGAAACCTTTCCTGGGTTGTATTTATTTGTCTGTGATAAAGATTACTTGGAGTGTTAGCTGAAAAACATTTTTGCAGACTATGACCTGTTATTTTGAAGTTACCTTTGCCCAACTGTTGGACAGCGTTCAAAACTTCTGGGAGGTCTCGACTCTCGAGCTCAAGTTCCCTCTCCAACCTCTCCTGGATAATTATAAATAAAAACAGGTGTTTCCTAGGCACCTTCAAACTGTCAATAGTCGATGCGAAGTTTCTATTTCTATGTAGATTTTCAGTTGTTGCTCAGCAAACTGGTTGAAAAATTCTTACTCACAGTACTGGTACGCTGTTTCATTCCAGATAATTATTGTACTTCCAAGTTTATTGTACTACACTGGAGTACTGATTGTTCCATCTGGAGTAGGTACCAATGATTAGTTTATACGATTATGTTGTAGTACAACTATGTTATGTTTATTGTTTCTTATTTCAGCACTTGAAAATCTAGGAAGTTGGAGAGCCATGAAAATATGCAATCTTTTAGTTTTTTTTTTCCTCTAGTTTGATTTAGCTCAAAATCTCTTGAAGCATCCAGCATCGTATATGCTTCCAAAACCATGCTAAAATGATGAAGCTGCTTTATTATGATACTGTAGGATATAACGTCAAGTTCGGTTCAAATGGATGCAACTAACTGAAAGTCCATCAAGTTAAGGTATAATCTTAATTCCTATTACATCTACTTTTATTTCTTATGGGTATTCCTTGATCTTCCTGCAATCTAATATCCTCACACACCATGGATCACGGCATATGAGGGTGCCATCAGCCTTTCATTAAAGGCTCAAGACCTCATTTCATGAGTTTTTGACTTGCTCAGGCAGGCAGTCATCTTGCTTTATGAATATATGTTTCAGTGTTGATTCTCAGCCATGTGCACCTGCTGTTCTTGACCGAGTTATCATCGTCCCCATATTACTAGCTTCAAATCAACCTGAATAAGTCAAGTTTCTTTTTGTGTTGTTATATAGACTTATTTATCAGCATTAATCATTGCATGATAAGGCAGTGTCTTAGTTGCTGATTTATCTGAATTCATTAGGTTAATGTATCTTCTTGTATGCTCCATGCCATCTTATCTCATCTGCAAGCATGGAGGGTTCATTTCCGACCTCAAACCACCCATGTATTTCCTTGCCCCAAATTGAATATGTTGTCTCCTCTCCTTTACCACCTCCTTGCACTCTTAATGAACTCACTGAATGATGCGGATGTAGCTTGGCTATTGTGCGACGTTATGTCAGTCTGCATGGCGGCAGTTTGAATTCGGGGGGAAGGTGCGCTAGTTTTGCAATTGCACAAAACTCTTTGACTGCATAATATTGTAGTTAGCAGATTACTTAGTTTGTTCTACCGTAATCCTTCAGGTCAGTCAAAAACATTATCGGAAGCTGTATCGTCTGCTGGTTTGGATAGCACTTTTTTTTTTCTTTTAGTGGAATAACATTAAAGATAGTTTTAAAGGAGGTTTATTACTACCAAATGGTTTAAGAAATACAAATACGAAGGGAAATTGAGAAGTTTATTAATCCGTTCTTTTTTTCTTTACACCCAGAAATTGATGATCTGAAAAGAAATTGAACACGCATATTACACTTGCTGAAAAAGAATGCTTGATTCAAAAGATCACATCCATCCATCTTCTTTGTGCCATTTATGGAAGAATCCAATGGCTCTAGCAGCGGGGCATATCTGCAGGAGGATGAGGGAGAGTCTCTAGGTGCCCTTTCCCATTCTTCACTATGAACACCGTAGCTAACCCCCATGATTGGTGTACATCAAAGTGACAATGCATAAACCAAACACCTATGATAAAATCAAGTAGATTGGTCAAGTAGAAGTTGAAAAAAAAAAAAAAAAAACAATAGTAATCGACTGGATAAGTTATTTTAATTAAGTGATATGTTTGCTTATAAATGTCTTACCAGGATTGTCAGCAACAAATCGAATAGCGGCCCATCCACCTACTGGAACTCCAATTGTGTTCATGTGTGGTGGATCCACTAAATTTAGATTTGCTGTTTGCGGATTATAGTTTCCTGTACCGTAGCCCACAACATAGAAGCTATAGCCGTGAAGATGAATAGGGTGATTTTCAGTTGTTACCGTCCCAGTATCCTGCAAGACCAAGTGTACCCGGGTTCCATATTCAAGGACCTTGACCCTAGTCCCATTCATCGAGTTGGTGTCGATAGGAGCATTGTTAGGTGCACCACTGACAAAGTCATAGAATCTTAAGGGTGCCCCTGGAAAGTTATCAGTGAAAAACCCTTCAATTCCTTTATAATACGCTTCTAAAACTGAAACTGTTGGCTTGATGAAACTGACATTGTTCATAGAAGCTGCCATAGTCCCATTATTTTGGCCTTGGCAATTCTGCTGTGGATTCTTGGACCTACACTTGTTAACGTTCAGTCCTATGGTGAGAAAGAGGTTAGTATCAATCTCTTTCGGAACAGCAGAAGTGTCTAGGCCTCTTAGGCCATCCATGACTGTCTTAACAGCCAAATTGTCGTTAAAGCTAGGTAATCTAGCCGGTAGTGATAAGCTGTTAGGCATTGCACCCACGTACTGGAAGTATGCAATTGCTGATATATTCTGGAACGGAACATTTTGAGCTGACATATAAGGTCCCATGGCCATGGAGTATTTTCCAATGGGCTGGTCGGCGGTAACTAGGACGTTCATGGTCTGGCCTGGTCCGAGCATCACACGGTCTGTGGTGAACGGTTTTGTATATTCAGCATCAGCTTCTACTATTGTTAATTTGTGATTAGCAATGGCGAAGAAGTTCTCCATGTTTAAGCCTGCGTTTATCAGCCTTAACAAGTAGGTCTTCCCAGGGACCACATCGATCTTGTACACATCTGGAATTTATTATCACACTTTATAGTTATAACGTAACAAATTGAAAAGCAGAACTAATGTAAATATTTTAATGAAATATTTGGTAGCTGTGCTAGTAGAAAAAAATGTGTTCAATATTCAATTGTTTTCATGACTTCTCAACATGAATTTAATGTTTTTCTCTGCGTTATTGAATGTCACTTGGTTTAATTTAATTATTGAAGTCGGTTTTTGCTGATGATGGTATTAGAAATTTGACTCCTTCCAACTCTCTGAATAAACTTATCGTCTCATGTAGCATTATTTGGTTGAAGCCAATTGTCTCAAAGCTTTACTTTTAGCTTCAGCGAAAGGGGATTTTCCTGCGTCGGCTTCTTGCTGTTTTTCTTTATTTTTTTCAGTATAATAAAGCTACTTATAACCAACCCTTTTGATATGAAGTGAAAATAATTAAATCTACTTCAACTTATTACCGTTAGCAGAGCAATTGTAGTTAGGGCCTGGATGACCATTAATGGTGTACGCATTTGATGGTGGAGGACCTCCCCCGCTTGCCAAGACTTGCCGTTCAAGTTGTACAGTATCCTGAAGCCAGTATTCCCCTGATACAGGTCCAAGCAGAAATACAAATATTTAAATCACGAAGAAAATCTGTATACTAATTGTAAACCATTGATCAATAATACTCTTTGCATGCAGATGGAAGTAATTAATTTCATTTTTGAGTTAGCAATAATATTAAGAGTAATGATCATACCCAATATTACAATATGCTCTTCGTATGGGTACTTAAATGGGTATGGGACAGCAGGCTTTGGATACACGACAAGGGCACCGTAAACAGTGGCCCTGAGCCAAGAAACATGAGCATGCCAAAAGAAGGTGCCCTTTTGGTTCACCAATGTGAACTCATAAGTGAAAGTCTGACCAGGTTGAATCGGACATTGGGTGATATAAGAAGGTCCGTCGAACCAGCATGATAGTATCTGCCGAACTCCATGCCTTCAACATTACAGAGAAATTAAAACACTCAAACATCGACCAATAATTAATAAATTAAGTTCGTCCAATATAATTAGATAATTATATATATATATATATATCATGGAAATTTGTATATTCTAGTAAGCTTAATTACCAGTGGATAGTGGCGTTGTGGGGTGACTCGTTAGCAACTTTGACGATCAATCTATCGCCTTGTTGGGCATAAACAACTGGTCCGGGAAACATATTGTTGACTGTCACGATTTGGTTAGAGTTGCACAGTTTATTGACTGTCTTCGTTTGAATCTGTTAATCATAACCAAAATAATAATAAGAATAAGAATAAGAATAAGGAAAATGGGACATGATATGTGAACATATATATATATATATATATATTGAAAGTATGGAATTGTCGTGTATGTACATGCACATGGATAGAGTAAAAGAGAGACCTTGAAATCATAAAACCTGGTTGATCTCCCTCGAGGCCACTCTGGAGAAGCATGGACAGTAGTGTAAGCATAGGATATTAAGGTTAACCATAGCATAAATGAAGTGACTAGGTTGGCCATGTTGAGAGAGATAGATAGAGAGAGAGGGAGAGGGAGAGGGAGAGGGAGAGGGAGAGAGGGAGCAATGAGTTTGAAGTGATGAGGAGCTAGAAGGGGTGGAAAGGATGCATTTTAATAGAGTTAAAGCATATTAATTTTTTAAGCATGGGAGGGAAAAAAGAAAGGGTTTGTCTAGTTTATTATGTTTGTCAGCTTTCATGATTCCTCTAACATGGATTCGTGATAATATGGTGTTGGGGGCGTGATTATTCAATGTGGCCCAATGTAGGGAAGGGTTTAGTCTTTTCTATTTGTTTCTCTCTCTCTCTCGATCTCTTGAAAAGGAGAGATTTATGTGTTCCTCTTGATTTGTAAACCTGGAGCAGTTTTTCAGTGACGAAATCATGCCATTTGACTGAGAAAATAGGCACACCTGCTTCCAAACACTGTCTAAACCCCACTACAACAACTACCAACCGTACTAACCTACAGTTTAATTATAGCATTACATTGCCATGTAGGCATCTTCAGTTGACTGTTGCGTACAGCTGCAACATGCAACCAATGTCATAGAGAAGGCATCAACTCCATTTTCAATTAGAATTATTGGTTTTGAACCATTTATATACTTCTTGTTATTGTCATTTATTGCCTTATTTCTCAACTTACATTTACAAATTAAAGAACACATAGTTAGACGAGAGTACTGGCTAGCAATCGATTAAAAGGAGTTTGCTTCTTATTGAGGACCCATGAGAAAGCATATGTATTTTTTTCTTTATCAATGTTTATAGTAAAATTTATAAAAATACAATGCATAGGGTTGAGTTGGGTTAGAAAGTTCGTAGAAAAGAAGAGAGGAAGATGCATTGAAATATTATTGTTATTTTTTTTTATTCTTATTATGTGATAAAACGTACAAATATAAAATCAGGTTTGAATTCGTTTTTGAGATAATTCTTACAAATTTCGCACTTTAGTTCCTATACTTGGAGAAGATGCATTCATACTGTAATCTATATTTTTTATTTCAAGATTTGACCTTATTTTTTGTTAAATCTTTTCAAGTATTATTTAGACATGATTGTGCTTTAACTATCTAATTTATTTATTTTTTTCATTACCAATGAAACTACCATTGGCATGTATTATATTCAATTTGAGTTCAACTTTCGTTTATATAGTTATTACTTAGATATCATTATCCCAAAAAACAAGCAATTTCTATAATCAATAAAGTAAAACTATCTTTTTCACGAGTTCAATCAATTTACATTGTTAAATGACTAATACTATATACAATTGAAGTTTTATTTACCATGCAAATAATTTTATTTTTGTGATTGGCAATCTTCAATGATTAAATATGTTGTATTTATTCAATCAAATTGTTTTTATTACATTCACATGTTGAATCTATTTATCTAATGTTTCCTACGATTTTATATTTTTATAATTGATTAAAAAAATATGCATGCTTTCTAAAAAAATATTGGAGAAAAGGCCTTAAGTAAAAAAAAAAAAAATGCTACTGAACTAAAGGATTTGAAATTATATTTTGATCTATGAAATTTTGCTCTAATTTATGTGAAAAATAAAACAAATTTAATGTTTAAAAAAACCTACGCAATAAAAGAAATAAAATTATAATGATCCAAAGCAACGCGAAGGATTGTCTCTAATATGAATGATTTGGAGAAGATAAAAGGTCAAATAAAGCCACAAAAGGCAAAAAGATTATGACAATCCAAAAAATCGAATTCTAGCTAGCCTCCTTTTTGCTCTCTTTTTTTATATGCACAAGAATCCTACCTTCCTGCACAAAAAAAACAGCAAAAAGTGAGTAAAGGTAGGGTTTGTTTGTTGTGTTTTTTAAAGA